GGGTGGTCCTGCAGGTGAGGAAGTCGCCTGTTTCCCACAGGCGTGGGTTCCTACTCACAACGAGGTAGCCCTACAGACATTTGATTTCTTCTGGAGACAGGGCACGGACTGCCTCCAGCCGAGAGTGGTTATTAGCTCCTGGCCTGCACCCTACAGCCACAGCTTTTCATTTACTGGAATAATGCACAGGACCACACTCTTTATAAGAAGTGTGATGTGGTAACTACAAAAATACAGCTAGGAGTTTTTGCTGGTGTTTTTAGGCCAAACAGCTTATGTCACTAAGCATTACATAAAGGCAGTATTAGTAAGCCCCTCACTCACAAAGTCAAGGTTAACAATTTCAAAATACCTTTTTTCCCCTTTGGTTTTTACACATTACGGCAAAAAGTGTTCTACTACTTTGAGTCTGTAAAGGAAAATCAATTCCTACAGCAGAAGCATTGGTGACTTCACATTAACTCCTTCTCGTCTTATACCTAACAAAACCACAGATGATGTTAATTCCTACAAGGGAATTTCTTGCTCGAAGTTACTAATCAGACAACATTTCAATACAGAGCTGCCCCTCTTGAAAGAGATTGAGCATGCATTCCTCATCTGTGCCATCTGAACCTCAAGCCACACACAGAGCAACCAGTTAAGAAAGCAGACAGAAAAGAACAATGTTTGCAGAAGTCAGATGCCACAGAGCCTCTCGAACTGAGTCTATGGAGGAGTAATTTTCCTTTCAATCACTTTAACAGACAATTTGCTCCATAAACCAAGGAGAACATTTAAATTGAATAAATTTAAACTTTATTTGCAAACAAACTGAACTCAAATGTATGAAGTCCTGGGGCAGTATCAAACTTCTGCAACATCCAGGGAAACTCCGGAACAGTGACATCACATCACCCTTGACATCTTCTATGTCAAGATATCTTAAGATAAGATGTGTAATTCACCAGTGGATCAAGTCTGAGAAACTAGTAACCTAAATTCTTCCTCAATGCTCTTCTAAAACTCCTAAAGAGTGAAGGGGAAAAATTGGAAAAAAAAAAAGAATTAGAAGATAATCACAAAGAAAGAGTAAAATAAGAAAATCCATTTAAAGAGATATACTTTTCTATCCATTAGCTGAATTAGTTTGACACCAGTTGCATAAATGCACATGCTGGCATACATGTTCCAGGCAAAAACAGCCTTAAGAGTCTTGGAATATTCAAGTGGAAGAATTTCAAAGCATGGGAATGACAGGATTGTAGGCTACTACAAAACTATTTCCATATTTGTTTTGCTATTTATCTTATCACCTACTTGAGCTTTAATTCCTTCAAATTCATGATGGATTTGTTTACACAGGTGCTGAAGTTGTATACCTGCTGTAACTAGTAGTAATATTTGAATACCATGTTAACACAGGCCACAAAACTGAGGTAGCCATTTCATAAGCCCAAAGTATAGTTCTGCTAAAGGCTACTTCAGTAATGTATGTAGTATTTCTTCATTTTAATCTGTGATTAAACCTACACCTTGCAGTAAGTTTGGGGTTTTTTGGAGGGGAAAAGGGAAAAAGAGACCTCTCAAACCCACCAAAGTCAATTTCTAAGGGATAAATTGCACTTGAAGCAAGCTCGAAACCAGACACAATAAAGAACAAAACAATTAGATTGTGATAGTCATGTTTCCTCCACAAGTTTGAATACTAGCAGCAGGGAGAATGCTAAGGAAATGAGTCATGACCAGATACTTGCCACCTCTTATTTCTTTACATTACTTCAGTCTTGTCACTAGGGTTTTAGGTGGACGCTTAAGCTGTTTAGAGCTTAGACTTGCTCTTTAAGCCAAGCAACTCATTTGAAGAGTTCAGGGGTATCTGCCGTCCACACAGCAAACTGAGACTTCAGTTTTCAACACAATTTGCAAGCTGCATGATTCAGAGGGCATTAAATCAAACTCCAGATATACTGGAGAGCAGTGTACCTATTCTCCTTGAACATCCTCTAGCACAATAGGGTAGTGGTAAAACTTGGCACTGTTAACTTTATGATTGGACTCTGTCTTAAAGGTTTTTTCCAAACTAAATGATTCTGTGACATTTTGTAGAACATTTTTCTGCACTACCTTCCCCCCCACCTCTTAAGAGTGTAGTTGTTTGGAGTTTGTAACCAGATCCCAACTGCATTAAAAACAAAAAAAAAAAAAAGAGAGCGAAGAGTTTAAGTTTCACTTTCAAGATAGTATTTTACAGTACATACAAAAATACTCCAGGGAAAAACCATACAACTTCATTGACAAAACCACCAATTATAAAGAAATCACAGAGAAATAGCATAACACTTGTTGCATATAAGCAGAATTTTTCCCCACCCCTCAAAAACCCTAATGCACTTCACTGGGTTAGCAGTGTTACCAGTTTACAGAACCAGACCTAAGACTACGATGGGTTTCCACATAACCATTTAGAACAGCTTTCAGGGTTTATCTGAAACCACTTTCTGCATGCCACTTGCTTTCAAAACTGCAACTTGCAGCTGGGCAGTAGTGTCACAACCGTTGCCAATATTTCAGTGCATCTTCAGCTGTGTGTTCAGACTCTGGCTTTACTACCCAGCGACAACAAAAAAAGACTGTTCCTATGTGAGACTTAGAGGTTAAGACAAAAAACCTCAAAACAAACAGGTAACATGGCATGATACATGCCTATCATCTCCATACCTTGGTGGCACCCTCTGCTGCTTTTCTGTCAATATTTAAATTAGTTATGGGCCTCCATAGGAGGCAATAGTTGTGTGGTGCATGGCAGTGCTAGACAGTGGGAAGCTGAGCACCATTGTGAGAGATGCACAGGAGTGGATGTGCCAAATGGGAAGATATTTTAAGATAAGAACGATATATGCATACGAATTAGGGAAGCACAAAGGCATACGAGCACATTCACACACACTTGAAAACAGAATGTGGCTGCAGCAAATAGTTAAACATGTTGACATACATTCCAAATCCAAGTCACAGGACAGACTGGGCTTTGTGGCTATTTCAAAAGATGTTTCAGCTGGTGACAGTTAAGACTTTTTAAAATCTAATAAGGGTAACTGTCAGAAAAATATGCAAAAAGAAGCAAGAGTATACAACAGTATAAAATAAGATCATGAATTTAGCAACAGTTATAGTCACAGTAACCTTCAATACTTTGTTAGGAACTACAACACACATTCAGAACACAGAACATGAACAAGTGATTATCCTCTTCACCTGGAGATATACCAGTTACCTGTTAAGGGTTAGTTTGATGGATCTTTTAACAATACGAATACTATTTGTTGGAATAGGTGATGAAGAATCTGGTAGTTCTTCACTGGAAAGCTTCTACAACACACAAAAAGACACCACAGGAAAAAAAATAATTTTAAATCAGTTAATTAGTTTCTAATTCATTAATTCAGAAGTAGCAGCAGATAAACCCTTTCCTAGCTGAACAGGACATTCTTTATGTACCAAAACAGTATGGCCCAAACCCATTTGCAGAGAATGATTATTTTCACCACACCTCTAGTTTAGTGCCCTCTGTGCAATTCTTTTCTTGCATCAGCTGAGACAACTATATTCCTGATGAGGGAGAAATTAGTTGCAAGTTGCTCAACAGCATAATAGAAGAATCTACCATTTTTCTCAGATCCATGGATCAGGAAAACAGTGTTTCTACTGTCTGGATTACTTCCAGCCTCATAGTCCCCAGTTTCACAACATTTTATATGAGACAGAAGAGTTCAAGTCACCTATAGACTTCAAAGTTTCCAAATCTCCTCACAGAAATCAGGATGCAAGAACTGATTACAGGACAAAAGAGCCAATCAGGAAATAAACTGCCAGTGTTTGGGAGCACAGAAATATGGATTTTCAAGTTCAGTAACTCAGCAACTTGGGCTACATTTCTGTGAGTAAACCTGGAAGGTCACTACTCAGCTATTTAATGTGGTGGAAGCACAACATGCAAAAACTTACCAACTACCAAGTTCACAGGGATTAATGGGACAGAAGTCTTTGTACATAAAATGAAAATACTAGTTTTGCTTTACCTATAAATCCAAAAGCACAATAAATACCTGAGATCTTGGTGCGATCACTGGAATCTGCATGTATTTTCCACCAAGGACACCCTGAAAGAGCCAGAAGGAATTTGTAAGAAAGTATTGCCAAGTTCACGACAGAGGCAGCCCATTTTGGCAGCTAGGATACTTTAAATCATGTGTACATTGACAACCTCCACCTCATGGGGTGGGTTTGATATTCTGAAGACCTAGAAGGACACAGACTTCAGGTTCAGGTATTTCAACCTTTACCAACAACATCTCGATTTGAGGGATTTGTTCACATCAATAAGTGTGCAGAGTATTTATACGAGACAGTCTAGGCACTATTCAGTTTTTCAGCTAGCGCATGGAATAAAATTACTTAAATATTACATATTTTTGCAGCTTTCCCCTTGACATCTCAAGGATTTTCACTTCCTCTGAATTCTGGATCCCAGACATTTAGCTAGAAGGACAAAGTACAGACTCAAAAGCATTGCTATGCTGAAATGACCTTCATATCTGGGTACAGCTTCAGACAATACATTAAATATATTAGCAGCCATTATTAAAACAACATTTATACAAGTCCACCATTACTCCACAGGAATATCAAGCCTCTCAAAAAATCTGCAAGTTGATTCTTTACAAGTGTCAAAATTGAGATTATTTTTTTTCCCCAGCTGTTCTTTGCCTCTGCTCAAATCAGAGGTCAAGTCACAAGACCAGCTATTTAAGGAGATTTATATAGAGCAATAAAACAAATCAAGCATTACTCTAAAGGTTCCACAAAACCAAGATTCAACAAGCAACTCCACTGCCATTTCAGCACAGGAGATGAGGACTAGGCTGGTGACTTTTTAAGCAGCAAAACCATTAATAGGCATTCAAAAAGCATCTGCCAGAACCAGATTAGCTTTTACATTTATAAGATTCGTATCCTCTTCATTTGGAGATGAATTTATTTCTGAATTGTTTTAAGAACTGCCTTCCAGATGAGACAGTTCATTCAGCAATTAGTTACGGCAGTGATAAGTACAGTAGTATTTCTGGTGACTTTTTAAGCAGCAAAACCATTAATAGGCATTCAAAAAGCATCTGCCAGAACCAGATTAGCTTTTACATTTATAAGATTCGTATCCTCTTCATTTGGAGATGAATTTATTTCTGAATTGTTTTAAGAACTGCCTTCCAGATGAGACAGTTCATTCAGCAATTAGTTACGGCAGTGATAAGTACAGTAGTATTTAGAGACCTTGGCACCAGATGAGAAAGTCACTAGTGCCAAATCCTTCCAAAAACTGTTTAATAGCCATACATTATATATAAGACAATTTATTTTATCTACATCCTAGTAAAACTATAATTATGCTTAAATTTAGATTCCCAAAACCATTTGGGGCATGTAAAAATGCATGTCTCAGTTATTTCGTTTATTCTACATCAGTAATCAATACTACTTCAAACCCTCCTTAGCCTAACCCCCCCTCCTTGCCTTTTCTCCATCTATGGCTTTTGCAGGGCATTCTCCCGACGGAAGCAGACGAGATACTTTAGAGGCTGATGAATAACATTCTTTAGGTGAAGCACTCTTAGGATCTGTGATTAGAGTCCGACTTATTTTACACTGTCCTTGGACAAAACATGCTCTGAGTTGAGAAACTGTATTATATCCTGGAACGGTGCACCCAATTGGAGATCCTGCTGTTCTTAGTGCAACTGTGGCCTCCATTTCTGTAGGAGACATATAGCTTTTAGAGTTTGGCCATGAAATTAGAATCATAGAAGCACAGAATTACAGAATCACCAAGGTTGGAAGAGACCTCTAAAATGATCAAGCCCAACTGTCCACCTCGCACTACCAGTGAAGCCCCTAAACCACATCACCCAAGAGTGCATTCCAACTACCACCTCAAATACATACTTGGATCAGTCCTAGAAATGCAGAGTTCTTTAGACATTGATGGCTCAGCTACACTGTTAACACCAGTACAACTCTGACGTTCAACATTGCTGAAAAAGTCAAATACTAGAGTTACAAAATGATAGTTCGTAAAAGACTGTATCTCTCATTTCCACGATGTTCATAAACATAAGACACTCCAGCTTCAAGTTACACCCATGAGAATTTAGATCAAGACCAAATAATTTACCTGGTATCAAGTTCTTCACTCCTATGTGTTCATGTGCATTACATTATTTTTTCAAGGATTTCTTCAACCCATCTCCCCCCATATGCCCAAGGGAGAAGGCAGCTTTATTCCTGAAGCCCTTAGAGCTCTCCATATGCTTATGATCCATATGGATTCAAACAAGAAATCCTAGACCTCGTTTACATTGTGTTCTAGTTAAAAGCAGCTTCTTCACCGTTCTAAGGTCACGGCACTAACCTTTCTGTCTCTGCTGTAGAGGTGTCCAATTTACGTATTTTATTTATGGAAGAGGAATCACACGGTGTCCTGGAATCTCTGTCTTTGGAACTGTCCGAACAGCTTTCACCTGAAGATGACCTTTTGCACTGAAGTCCAGTAGTATTTTGACTAATATCTGTCGCTCTTCGCTGAAACAACAGTTAAAAAATAAAGTTTTCAGGTAATTATTAAAGCAAAAAAACCCCAATACTGCCGGAAGAGACACATTTTTGTTATACCTTCCTCCTTTTCTGCAAGGTTTCTGCTGGCAAAAAATAACGGAGATGCTTTCTCTTCACATATGTTGCATCAAGCTTCATCCCTTCCTTCAGAATGTTGAGGGCAATAGCCTGCCTGTAAACTGACATCAAATACAGTGTTGTAGCTTAGTGGAGATGCTGCATTATGTGGCTGTCAAAGTTACCTATGGTTTCTTTGGAAACATGTGTCCAGCTCACATAAAGAACAAGGAGTTCCCAGCCTAAGGGACAATCAAATGCTCCCCAAGCGCTTCCCAGGGGATAAATGTGACTACAATGCTCATTTCACATCTAGCATAGACCAAATACACTACAGGTATTTAAATTCAAATATGCAATTAGATGTTCAGTTACAGCTGTGGCTTGCTAATCATGCAGCTCACATCAGAGCCAATTTGTACCTGAAGGAGGTTAATACTCCTTAACCATTTCTGGTTGAGAATAGATCTAGATAACTTTCTGAATAACCCCAGTTGTGCAAAGCTGAGGAGAAACCAGACACCTCACTCAATAGACAGCCTAATTTTTGATTTGACATTTACAGTGGTGATTTTCTTTACTGTAACAGCTCTGTATCATCATACAACTTTCCAGCAGTTAAGATATTAACATTTATTCTGTCCAAGGAAGTAAGACTGGATTTTAGGGACATCTGACTTATCAGACTCCCTGCAATTTAAACAGGTTTTGCTTAACGGCCTGCAAACAGCCTTTTATGCAACTGAAAAATGCTATACCAGCACAGCAATTATTACAAAATTAAGTCACATTTGATAGACCAGTGAGATAAGCTCATCATGTGTGTAACTGGAAAGTCAGTTTAATAACACAGAGTGGGAATCAAAGTAAAGACATGCAACGGAAAGGATTACAAATCTTTCCACAGAGACTTAGACCTATAGAAAAGGCCTAGAAGTGAAATAAAAGCACAAATATGAACATTCACACCAATTCACAATTCTTTCAAAGTAAAGTCAATAGTTTTCACATAAAACAGAGATAAAACTCCATTGAACAAAAGATCTCCAAACTGAGCCTTATATCCTTGAGTCCAACAACTTGAAGTTAGTATTTGCCCTCTAAAAATATTCTCTCAAAGTCAAGGCACACAATAGCAGCTTTCTAGCACATAACTACTGGTCATCCCTACATTTGCCAGAGAATTTCGCACCTCAAGAAATACCTTTTCTGTTCAATTCTCTCTGGATTCAAGCCCTCTATCTTATACATACTATAGGCTGTGCTTCACTCAACTAAGAGAACACAGCTGTACTAACAGTATTTGTGCAGAAACAATTTAACATTAGTTCTGGCCTCTTAGCAGAACATAAAATGTCATTAACATAATTTACATTTGTCACAATGTTGAAACACAGAGCCACTGTATGGAATGCCCAAGTACAGATAATGGTGCAAGTCTGAGGAAGTCACCCCAGCTGGCTTGAGACTCAGACAAGAGTTTGTATACATTTTTCTGTGCTTTTCTCATACCCCAAGTATGAGTTAAGAGGGTTGGGTTTTACTGCATTTACTCATGTTGTCTGAGCAAGACAATGCACAGTTCATGCTGCTACTATGGATAAACTCAATAAACATTTAAAAGAGTCTGCTGTTTAGAACTTTGTCCAAGCACACTTGTCACATCAGAAGAGTAACCCAATTTCCTTAGTTCTTTGTTTCTTCTTAGGCAGGCCTAAGCAAGCACGCACTTCTGAGAGGTACAAAGAGCAGCCTGCTTGGGAAGAACCACCAGATTATGGGAAAGACAACTTTCAAACAACTCCTCATGCCAAACCCCCTTCTTCTAGGGCTGTCTAACAACTCTTGCAGTATTGATTTATTTCTAAATCTATCAAAAGTAGTAATGGAATATAAGCATGAAAATTTACATGCAAGACTGCATGTGACAACTCACTGACTTTCATGGTTCTGGAATCATATCATACACAAACTGTTGTCTTGGAAAAATAGCACCAACAGGCATTAATAACTCATTTTAAAGCTTGGTAGAGTCAATTCCCACTTTTCAAGTTCAGCAGCTGACTACTGTTTTTTGACAAATGTAGCTGCCCCCAGTACATGGACATCTCCTGGCTTCACATCTGACTGTTCCTTCAGGAACTGTTGTTTCTTTGTGACTATTTACATACGGTATGTAACTAACACATTTTTGTTTCAAGATGGACTTATTTTGACAAAGTGTCATCACATTACATTTTTTAATTAATATGTTTCAGTCTATAGGAATATCTAACAACAGAAGGAAGCACAATTCACTTTGTGAGGCAACTTCCACAGGGATACAAAAAAATTTAAACCCTCCAAGTCTAGAGCAAAATAGAGGCTTACCTGTATCCGTGAATGACTGTACCCCATATGTTAGATCAATGTTAGTCTTTTCTGCACTTTCCACTTTCTTAAATACAAGTCCAAGAAACCACATTGACACATAGCCACTCCTACAAAGACAGATTCACAAACTTGATTTAGGCATAGATGGCAGTTATTTAGATTAGAGCACCTACTGCCCAGAAGGCATTAAGCAAAACACTTTAGGTGTAGGCAGCGGTTAAAGATTAGAGCCAGCCCCAGAAAACTTAAGCTCTCAGACTACTTCTCTCTGAAGTCCTCCCTCCTTTAAAAAGTGCTTTAGTGCTCAGTACCCTGTCTGTTAGAGCATGTACCTACAAAATTAGACTGCAGGTATGTATTGAACATCTCTCACCAATGAACTGAGGTGAATGAGTATAAAGCAGTTACAATACATTGGCAAAACTGTACTTCAGAGAAGTAATGGAACTCACTGTTTACAGAGATCTTCATTGCCAGGGAAAGACTGCGGTTGTACATGTGCAATAGTTACAAATTCATTCCTTTCCAAGTTCCCAACCAGCACACGGATTTTAGACTCAACGAGGCCAATCCTGGTAAGATCAAGAGATATTTACTCATTTTAACTGTATCCAGCACATCAGTTAGGTGCCTTTTTGTAATACAATGTTAACCAAGGAGTACGTTTCATACAGCCGAACAGATGCTGGATCTTTCTATGACATACACTAACTTGAGCTGTTTCCAGTGAGATTTGAGCTGTAATTTGAGCTACTGTTTCCAAAGACAGAGGTAAATAAGTTTAACATGTACTCTTAACAGTTCAGATAACACTTCAACCTATAATCTATGATGAAAATATCAGCAAGCAGCACCTCTGGTTACATTTTGAAATGCAGCAAAACTCCTTTCTACCCCAAGGATCAAGCAGCTTAGAAAATGCTCAAGCACAACTGTTCAATTATGCCCAAGTAAACATACAATTCTCCCTGCAGATTGATGAGTGAAAATGGAAAAACAATTTTCAATAAATAATTAATAAACAAATGATCTCATCGTCTCATCAGAAACTTACCTGAGAAATTAATCAGACCAAAAGGGCTTTAATTTATTTAAATAAAGTATTGGCATTTTACCTTTTTACTTAAAACTCTGCTAACTTTGAAAGCAGTCAGAAATCTGTATGTTCTTCAAAAGCATCTTACATTGATGAACAACAGAGCTGTGTTATCTATTCCCAAATCCATTCAAGAAATGGTCAACAAAACTTGTTGCTATAGCAAACTGAAGCAAGTTTATCTTCTGCTTTTTCATTCTCCCAGATGCAAAACTGGAAAATTTGCCTTTGTTTGTGTCTCTGTAGAAACATTACTGAAGAATAGCAGGTCTGGAACAGGCTGACTATATGACCAGAGCAATTTAGCATTGAGCACAATCTGTCCTAAATTAAATATGTTCACTCAAACTATTTTATGAACCCAAGTCTAAGGCTCTAGAACAGTGGTCTCCAAAGCAGGGGTGTGTGTGGGAGGTGTCTACTCCATACCTAGTTGCATAGATAAGTACTTCATTTATTAATACAATTCACAAAAATAAAGTGCAACACTGAATTGAGTTTCAATTATGCACTGTTCCCACATTTAAAGTAAGACTTACCAGTTTAAGTGATGCTCTTTTGTAGAGGCACTGGCAATTAACACAACATAATGTCTAGAAGAAAAGAAAAATGAATACACTAGCTCAGGACTTTATTCTACATTCTAAAGATTTTTATTTTTTTTTTAGTAAAAGCAGAGTCAATGGCATAACACAGTTTTTCCTTACAAAAATTCATATGACTACCTCCATTTTCTTTTAAAAAAAACCCCAAACCAAAACACATCAATGTCATCTATTTAGACTGCAAGTTAAAACTGACTGTAATTAAATCATTTCAGGTCCAGACAACAGATTTCATACATACTTGTACTTCTGAAAGAAGTCGAGTGGTTCAAAGAGCTTTGACCAGTCTGATTTTCCTTTGAGAATCTCATCTATGACTTCAAGCCCTACAATTAAGATTGAAAACCGTATTATAATTCTGTTTTTAAGAGTAGCATGATATAGACTTTACAAGATAAAGGTTTAGAACCAGTAACTGACAGGTGAAAAAGTAGGAATTCCCTTGACACAATGCAGATCTACTACAACAGTTCATTGGAAGACTGGTGCCTTGTTGCCTGCAACAGGAATACTTCCCAGAGACCTCACCCTACCTAAAACACCTCACTGAACAAAACTTATCAGATAATATGGTTTCATATAGCAAGAAGTAAATCAGTGAATAAGCATGGAAGGTACATTACCACGTTGGAATTCCTCTACCATTACTGCTCGTGTTGATGTAGAGACATTGTATGTGGAGTTCTGCTGGGGATAGGCTGGTGTGATGATGGGCATCACATGGTGCCGGTCTGATAGGTTTACCTAGGATGTTACAACATTGTTCAGCATCAGTTTAGGTAAGAACAAACTTTAAAGGCTTCTGAATTCAATGCCTACATACCCTAGGGTCCCATACGGGTAAGTTAAGAGAGCTCTCTTCAGATTTTTTCAGCAATACAGGCTTTGGCCAATCCCTGTATAAGAAAAGGCAGTAATTAACTACCCCTTTCCAACTCTGCTATGTAATTCATGGTAGCAATAAATACTGTCAGTGTAAGTCTTTACATAAAGAACTACGTCTAGGAGTGTTACTTCTTTATGCAAATTAAAACAAACAACAGCTCTTACCATCCTGAAAAAACCAAGAAGAATTTCTGGACAAGAGTAGAAGCCACAGCGTTTGGATAGAGTTGACATATTCTTGCTACTAGCATACACCAGGAAACTCCACCAAGAAATCCCATGATGTTGGAATAAACACCACGTCCTACAACGGATACCATGCAGTTAGTCTACAGTCCAAATTCACAGCACCAGCTTCACAATCTATAGAATACTTAATATGCTTCAACCTCGCAGTCATTTATTTTTGCAGTGCAGCGATGCCAAAATTTCTTGTGCTTACAGTGACAAGAAAAAGAATCATTACCACACCACTTCCCAAATTACTGCTACTCTGAAATTTGGTTATGCTGCTACAGTTACTGCTTCACTCCGACTTCCCTTCAGAAAAACTTCTGTCATACTTCTAGCACTTGCTCTAGCCACACATGCAAAGGGTATTTTCGTTTTGTACTTATTTTGGCATTTTTATCACTTGTAGTCAGGTTCCTAATAAGCAATGCAGCACACTGTCCCATAAGCACTCCCCTCTTCTCCCCCACTCTAGCCCCATTAAAAAAAAACTGCATGGGATCTACCACATGGACAGACCCTGAATCTAAACTAAGTTTCAATTTCAAAAGTGCCATTTCAACAGCAATCCAAAGCTGAGATACTTCTAATAGCAAGCATGAGGTGCCTCTGAAAAGTTTAAAGATTACAATCAAATCACGTTACTCACGTTTTGCCCACAGCTTAATTGCACGGAGAGCGAGGCGGAAGTTCTCTATATTTGGCACCAGGCGTAGTATTTCATCAGTAACTCTGCTGCCTGCAAGGCAAAAGTTGAAGTACAGAAGTTCCTCATAACAGGTACAAGTCAGTTTTATGCTATACAGGATCAATTGCTTACAGCTTATCATTCAAGACTATAAAAACAAGTCTGGATTACTTCTTTTGTATTACCTTAAAGATTAAGGTTACACATAACATTTGGCATCACTTCAGCTAATTGGTACCCTCAGTTTTTAATAAGGCCTTTCTACAGGATGCTTTAGCCATATACTGAACCACAAGAAGTTCCACCTCAACATGAGGAAGAATTTCTTTCCATTGAGGGTGGCAGAGCACTGGAATAGTCTGCCCAGGGAGATCATGGAGTTCCCCTCTCTGGAGGCACACACAAAACCCACCTGGACACATTCCTGTGTCATCTGCTCTAGGTGACCCTGCCTTGGCAGGGGGTTGAACTAGATAATATCCAGAGGTCCTTCTTTCAACCCTAACTATTCTGTGACTCCAAAAGCTAGGTTCCTTTTGACAGTCAGGAACAATTAAACTAGTCAGTGTTAAACAGCGAGCAAGTCAGGCTTCAGGTATTTTAATTACTATTTTTTATGACCTACCATGCATTCTTTATCAAGTGCTCTACCTAGTTGTCTGCATTTTTGCAGCAAATGGGAACACTGCTCACATCCTGATCACATAAACATGAAATACAAGTCTATCTAAACACACAACTCCTTGAAACTTCTATATTTAAGCCCACTTGTCACTTCCTCAAAACTCAAGTACAAAGGAGATTAGTTTCTTCAGCTTGTTCTGAGATATGGGTTGTGCAACACGTTTCAGTAACACACTCCTTTTAAAAGTGTGTAAAACATGCTTACCATTTAAGCTCCGTATGCATCTTATATCCAGGCTTTTCAGGCATGAGTCATCTCTGAGATCAAGGTCATCAGAAACAGTTGGCGTAGATAGCTTTGCAAACACGAGATCAATCTTAAAGAGAAAACAGTTCCAACCATAAGTTCCAGTGCAGCACTGTTTGCAAACAGCACACTGGTGAGGGACACTTAGTCAACTCTAAAGAGTGGTTAGCATTTGTATTTTGAATTATGCAACTATAAATCTGCCAAGGTATTTGCCAGAAAACTCAAGAAAATTACTAGAAGTTCTATATTTTATTTACAAACCCTTCATTGCATCACTGGCTTATTTTTAAGCCATGGAAAGAAAAGATTTTTTTTAAAGCTGAAAAAATTAAACTTGGAATATGGATTAAAGGAAACTCACAATCACAGAATTGACATAAATTCAAATCACCTTAACTATACATCAGCAAAGGAGAGAGCATTTTCTTTTTGTGATAAGCCCTTTTGATGCTGAAGTATCTGGTTTTCAGTACAGTCTGAGGTGAGAAATTATTCTGTGAACATCTCTACCAGATAAAGGCCACAAAAAGGTCTGAGCTCAGAGAAGTTAGCAAGGACGCTGCATCTACTCCCACTCTGCGCCAGCCAGTCAAGTAGGCTACCCTGATCTACACCACAGGTTTAAAACAGATGTCCTTGATGTTCCCATGACTGTCAGACTTCCTAGGAGCTTATTTTCCTATGAGATCCCATTTTACTTAGTGTCTTCTGCTGGGATAGGTTGTGGTCACTGTTTTACTGTGAGGGTGGTGATACACTGGCACAGGTTGCCCAGGGAAATTGTGGATGCCTCAACCCTGGCAGTGTTCAAAGCCATGTTGGATAAGGCAACATGGTCTGACGGGAGCTGTCCCTGCTCATGGCAGGGGGTTGCGACTAGGTGATCTTTAAGGTCCATTCTAACTCCTTAATATTCTATGATTCTATGTTTAATAACAGTTTCCTAAATACACTGTAAGAGACCAATAACCTTGTAAAACAGCACCATCGTAGGTCTCTGGAAAAGTTATCACATTCTAAAACAAGGAAAATCTTGCATATAGAAAAAAAAATAACATTCTTACCTCAGTGCCATCAAACTCAAGTTTGATAACTGGTACATATGCATCCTCAATGGCCTGTGAATGAGAGGCTAACTGTAACAAACCATGTTTTTGCTACTTTAATGTTTTTCCTATACTATGACAAAATACAGTGTTTATAGTACTAAAGTACTCAGGATAAAGACTGAGTTGCTTCCAAACACAAACAAATTGCTAATACTAGATTTAAAGAGTTATTTAGGCAAGAGATTCAGAGGCTGATCACATATTGTAACAGTCAGACACTGCACAACAAACCATTGCCATCAGTGTAAGCTCCTCACTACATCCAAGATTAAATTAAGGCTCCAGGAACAACCTTGCTTTTTGATATAGCTTGTTCCCAAACCATGGCAAAGGGAGAAGGGTACACAAAGGCTCTTATATGATGTACAGTTGTGGGGAAAGAAGCCAAAAGATGGACATCAACATTTTCATGTAGCATAAACCAGTATTTTAAAAGGTACTCAGAAGCTATCTGGTTCTTAATTTTGGCTTAAAGACATTCACTACCTATACAAGTCTTGACTGTGAATACTCTTATTGTAACCCTTGCACAATCAAGCAGAGCGTTTACTCACTCTTAGATTTTTTACTTCCTCTTGATTTTTTAGTTTTTCAAAGAATGACTGAAAAAAATCCGATCTTTCCACATGACTGGGAGCAACACAGAGGGCATCTATGTCAGCACCTGCAAATTGATTCCATTCCTTCTGTTAGTCTTGGAAATCACTTTCCAACATCCCAACTATGACCAGACACTGAAACTACTACCTTTAGTGTGTACTCCAAGTCTGTAGGAACCAAAGGTAAATATTTTACCACCAACATTTTCTATTAATGAAGGGGGAAGTTTCTGTGGGTAGAAGAGAGAGTTTAAGATGCACATTGTCCTATGTACAAGTTTAACTAACATATAAATTATTCACGAAGACTGTAACAGCCTCCATAAACATCACCCCACTCCCATCCTGGGTTTTTAGTTTAAAAGACTTTTTCTGAAGTGGGTTGAGCTTGCAACTCAAAATGAATTTTATGAGTAATATAGTCCTTTTACTAATTTATACAAATTAAGACCTATTATTAGCCTTCCCTGCAGCAGACACACATAAATTAACACAATCTAAGAGTCATTCAAGAGGCAAGTCTAGCATAGTAATTTCAAACTACATTGAGGGCTGTAGGTTGTTTGGGGCAAGATTAGTGCCAATTTACCATCTCTCATCCACAACGTTTCAGCTTTGTTAACAGCTGCAAGTCAACTGATAGAGTCAATTTACAAATTTATTCAGTGCCCCAAAGACTTTGAGATCTTGAAGTCTTTTATACCTTATTTCAGTGGCAGTTACTAGAGCTCTACTTAATACTTGCGAAGTTAGAAGTCGAACTGTAGCATAAATCATCCTAGTAGCATGACCTTTAAAGCAAAAGGCTTCAGCTGCTTTGATAAAAACCTAAAAATTCCTTACCTTGCTCTCAGCAAGTTCTGAAATCCATTCTTTGACCAAGTTATTCAGTTTACCAAGAACAGCAGCCCTGTAAAGAAAACTCATGCTAAGTTTGCTTTAAATAAAACAGTAAGATGTTACCAAATTTTCCATCTTGTTATACCTGTGATAAAGTTCTTCCTTGTCTTCAAACACTCCAAATGGCTTCATTGCTTCAATTAGCTTCTGAGTATGAATGTGGTCTATCTCATTAGGAAGAGCCAAGCTAACTGGAGAAGTAACTCCATACTGTCCTTGAAGCTGCTTCTGCTGTCTAGAAGTACTGGGAAAAAATAAACCAATTCATTTCCATTTCTTTGGCCCATTAGAACTGATGACCAGGAAATAAAGAGGTTTGAAACCCACCAAGGGTTCCAACTACAGATGCAGCTTTTAGTTACCTGGTGTTCCCCCCCCGCCCTTCTACAAGGCCACTTTTCAAGGTTTATTCAATGTGTTTTCCAAAAAGCTGGAGGCAGGTATCAGGACTGTGATCCTATCAATCAGTCTCCCCATTCAGAACAGCTCTTTACTAACAAGTGGAACTAGGTCTTGACCTAATTTGCCTCATTTATAAGCATTGACAACTTTCACTTCATCAATAATCATAATGAATATTTTCTTCATGATATCATTTCCATAACCAATACAGGAGGGAAGCACGTGTTCAATTGTTGTGCATTACATGTAAATCAGAACAGCTACAGAAGCAACTGCTTACATGTTTTATGCATTTCTTGCATTGTGCAACTTGCACTTCAGAGTTTGCCTACAAGAAGAATGGGATTTAGACTAGAACATAATTTAAGATCTTTCCAATGTACAGAATGGCACCATCTGCCTTTCATTATCTCATTTTTCTTGTAGATAACATAATTACAGATTGACATAAAGGGTAATATGTTACCTAAATTTATTGTTATTAATATATGATTTACTAATTCCACATCATTCATATCTAATTCTTTTAGTCAATAGTGCATTTTTTTATAGTGGCTTGCACACATTACTGGAAGTTTGCCCTCACAACTTAAAAGCTGAGGAAAACAGCACTTAGAAAGCTTTATTGATTGGCTTATACCAAACAGAATTTGTTGCCTTTTTAGAATTCAGACTAAATAAGATGCTACTTCACTCTCTCAGGCACAACAGACTTCCAGGGCTATACAGTTAAGGGATCTTAGGGATTTCATCACACATCATACACTACCTGTTCACCCATCAGCTTTTTTGAGTAAGAAACCTGTTGCAGTTCAGTACTTTCCTAACCCTTGATACAATTTGTGCACCACAGCAAACAGCTCCAACATGTGCCTGTTCTCATAGATCCTAATTTCACACAAAGAGCCAATTTATTCCAGGTTTTATTTACAGCTTCATGAAGTGGTCCACAACACTCCACGCGTTGCAGGGCAAGGTGCAGCCCAGGGAGCTGCCTTCAGCCATCAGCATTGCTATGAAGAAAAAATCCCTGGTAATCAGTTCCAGAGCCACCAAAACTGCCAGCAGAAACCAAACCTCGGGGAAAAGCCCCACCACCCGCGACCCTCAGCGAGACCAGCCCCACTGCGCCCCTCAGCACTACCGCACCAGCTCATGCTGCACGGAGCCCGCAGGCAGCTACGGGCAGGTCCGACCTCCCGTCGCCGACGGCTCAGAGAGAC